CAACTATTACACCATTGAAGCTATTACAAACAACATCACAACTATTACAACATTGAAGCTATTACAACCAACATCACAACTATTACAACATTGAAGCGATTACAACCAACATCACAACTATTACAACATCGAAGCTATTACAACCAACATCACAACTATTACAACATTGAAGCGATTACAACCAACATCACAACTATTACAACATTGAAGCTATTACAACCAACATCACAACTATTACAACATTGAAGCTATTACAACCAACATCACAACTATTACAACATCGAAGCTATTACAACCAATATCACAACTATTACAACATCGAAGCTATTACAACCAATATCACAACTATTACAACATCGAAGCTATTACAACCAATATCACAACTATTACATTGAAACTATTATAACTGACATCACAATAGTTACTATCATCGTATAAATCATAACAATGATCACAGCCAACTTAAAAATGATCACAGCCATCATAACAATGATCACAGCCAACTTAAAAATGATCACAGCCATCATAACAATGATCACAGCCATCATAAAAATGATTACAGTCATCATTACAATGACCACAGCCATCATTACAATGATCACAGCCATCATAACATTGATCAAAGCCATCATTACAATGATCACAGCCATCATAACAATGATCCCAGCCATCATAAAAATGATTACAGTCATCATTACAATGACCACAGCCATCATTACAATGATCACAGCCATCATAACAATGATCACAGCCATCATAAAAATGATTACAGTCATCATTACAATGACCAAAGCCATCATTACAATGATCACAGCCATCATAACGTTTACAAGACAGTATGTACTAATTCAACAAGTTTATCTCTGAAATTTGAAGTTGTATTAATTTCTACTTTAACAATTATGAATTCATTTGACAACTTTTACAAACTAGCCCTGAGATGGGTCCACAAAACAACTTTTACAAACTAGCCATGAGATGGGTCCACAAAACAACTTTTACAAACTAGCCATGAGATGGGTCCACAAAACAACTTTTACAAACTAGCCATGAGATGGGTCCACAAAACAACTTTTACAAACTAGCCATGAGATGGGTCCACAAAACAACTTTTACAAACTAGCCATGAGATGGGTCCACAAAACAACTTTTACAAACTAGCCATGAGATGGGTCCACAAAACAACTTTTACAAACTAGCCATGAGATGGGTCCACAAAACAACTTTTACAAACTAGCCATGAGATGGGTCCACAAAACAACTTTTACAAACTAGCCATGAGATGGGTCCACAAAACAACTTTTACAAACTAGCCATGAGATGGGTCCACAAAACAACTTTTACAAACTAGCCATGAGATGGGTCCACAAAACAACTTTTACAAACTAGCCATGAGATGGGTCCACAAAACAACTTTTACAAACTAGCCATGAGATGGGTCCACAAAACAACTTTTACAAACTAGCCATGAGATGGGTCCACAAAACAACTTTTACAAACTAGCCATGAGATGGGTCCACAAAACAACTTTTACAAACTAGCCATGAGATGGGTCCACAAAACAACTTTTACAAACTAGCCATGAGATGGGTCCACAAAACAACTTTTACAAACTAGCCATGAGATGGGTCCACAAAACAACTTTTACAAACTAGCCATGAGATGGGTCCACAAAACAACTTTTACAAACTAGCCATGAGATGGGTCCACAAAACAACTTTTACAAACTAGCCATGAGATGGGTCCACAAAACAACTTTTACAAACAAGCCATGAGATGGGTCCACAAAACAACTTTTACAAACTAGCCCTGAGATGGGTCCACAAAACAACTTTTACAAACTAGCCCTGAGATGGGTCCACAAAACAACTTTTACAAACTAGCCCTGAGAATGGTCCACAAAACAACTTTTACAAACTAGCCATGAGATTGGTCCACAAAACAACTTTTACAAACTAGCCCTGAGATGGGTCCACAAAACAACTTTTACAAACTAGCCATGAGATGGGTCCACAAAACAACTTTTACAAACTAGCCATGAGATGGGTCCACAAAACAACTTTTACAAACTAGCCCTGAGATGGGTCCACAAAACAACTTTTACAAACTAGCCATGAGATGGGTCCACAAAACAACTTTTACAAACTAGCCATGAGATGGGTCCACAAAACAACTTTTACAAACTAGCCATGAGATGGGTCCACAAAACAACTTTTACAAACTAGCCATGAGATGGGTCCACAAAACAACTTTTACAAACTAGCCATGAGATGGGTCCACAAAACAACTTTTACAAACTAGCCATGAGATGGGTCCACAAAACAACTTTTACAAACTAGCCATGAGATGGGTCCACAAAACAACTTTTACAAACTAGCCATGAGATGGGTCCACAAAACAACTTTTACAAACTAGCCATGAGATGGGTCCACAAAACAACTTTTACAAACTAGCCATGAGATGGGTCCACAAAACAACTTTTACAAACTAGCCATGAGATGGGTCCACAAAACAACTTTTACAAACTAGCCATGAGATGGGTCCACAAAACAACTTTTACAAACTAGCCATGAGATGGGTCCACAAAACAACTTTTACAAACTAGCCATGAGATGGGTCCACAAAACAACTTTTACAAACTAGCCATGAGATGGGTCCACAAAACAACTTTTACAAACTAGCCATGAGATGGGTCCACAAAACAACTTTTACAAACTAGCCATGAGATGGGTCCACAAAACAACTTTTACAAACTAGCCATGAGATGGGTCCACAAAACAACTTTTACAAACTAGCCATGAGATGGGTCCACAAAACAACTTTTACAAACTAGCCCTGAGATGGGTCCACAAAACAACTTTTACAAACTAGCCCTGAGATGGGTCCACAAAACAACTTTTACAAACTAGCCATGAGATGGGTCCACAAAACAACTTTTACAAACTAGCCCTGAGATGGGTCCACAAAACAACTTTTACAAACTAGCCCTGAGATGGGTCCATAAAAATATCACCACAGCTTTACTCATTGCCCTCCATGAGCTTGACATTAATGACCCCCCTTCCCCCTCCAAATCACTTTCCCTGGTCAGTGATAATTTATGGCATTGTGGGAATGCTTCATTTTAAAGGCATTCTGTTAAGTTGTTTGATCCCACGTCTGACCAGCCAAAACATGGCGGGCATTTCGCGAGACAGCCCTTGATGAACTGGTTGCCGATCGCAGTTACGGAACTTCGCCTTGTTTGGTTGTTAAAAGAAATACAAACTAACGTCCCTTTGTATTGGGTGACCCCTGACTATGTAGTTCCAAACAAAAAGGAGGTTAAACTGAAGAAATGCTTTCCCACATGTTCTGCCATTGAGACAATCTGTAGGCGTAGGTCGTGATACGGCCTAGGATCGTAATATTAAGAGAACATATAGGCATGTAGGATCCTGATAGTTATGCAATCTGTAGGCGTAGGTCGTGATACGGCCTAGGATCGTAATATTAAGAGAACATATAGGTCTGTAGTGTCCTGATAGTAATGCAATCTGTAGGCGTAGGGTCTTGATATTAAAACAATCTATTGGCGTTGAGACGTGATAAACTAAGAAAATCTGTAAGCCTATGGTTGTGACATCAAGACAATATGTAAATGTAGGCTTAGGATTGTTTTATCAAGATAGTCTGTAGTCATAGGATTATGAGATCAAGACAATCTGTAGCCTTAGAATTGTTTTATTAAGACAATCTGTAATCTTAGGATAATGATATCAAGACAATCTTTAGTCTTAGGGTTGTGATATCAAGACAATATGTAGTCTTAGGATTGTGATATCAGGACAATATGCAGTCTAGGGATCGTTTCATCAAGACAATCTGTAATCTTAGGATTGTGATATCAAGACAATTTTTAGTCTTAGGATTGTAATATCAAGGCAGTCTGTGAGCCTAGGGTTGTAAAATCAAGACAATCTGTAAGCCTAGGGTTGTAATATCAAGACAATCTGTAAGCCTAGGGTTATAATATCAAGGCAATCTGTAAGCCTAGGGTTGTAATATCAAGACAATCTGTAAGCCTAGGGTTGTAATATCAAGACAATCTGTAAGCCTAGGGTTGTAAAATCAAGACAATCTGTAAGCCTAGGGTTGTAATATCAAGACAATCTGTAAGCCTAGGGTTGTAATATCAAGGCAATCTGTAAGCCTAGGGTTGTAATATCAAGACAATCTGTAAGCCTAGGGTTGTAATATCAAGGCAATCTGTAAGCCTAGGGTTGTAATATCAAGGCAATCTGTAAGCCTAGGGTTGTGATATCAAGGCAATCTGTAAGCCTAGGGTTGTAATATCAAGGCAATCTGTAAGCCTAGGGTTGTGATATCAAGGCAATCTGTAAGCCTAGGGTTGTAATATCAAGAAAATCTGTAAGCCTCAGATTGTAATATCAAGGCAATCTGTAAGCCTAGGGTTGTAATATCAAGACAATCTGTAAGCCTCAGATTGTAATTTCAAGACAATTTGTAAGCCTAGGGTTGTAATATCAAGGCAATCTGTAAGCCTAGGTTTGTAATATCAAGGCAATCTGTAAGTCTAGGGTTGTAATATCAAGGCAATCTGTAAGCCTAGGGTTGTAATATCAAGACAATCTGTAAGCCTCAGATTGTAATATCAAGACAATCTGTAAGCCAAGGTTTGTAATATCAAGACAATCTGTAAGCCTAGGGTTGTAATATTAAGAAAACCTGTAGCCCTTGTGGATAAAATCTTTTCCTTCCTCAGGTCGCTTAATTTCTAGTCTTTGGGCTCTAAGTTTGTGATTCAAGTTACAGCTTGGACACATTGATCAGCAGGTAAAAATGTTGTCAGAAACACCCAAATATATTAAAATGTGATGACTCAAAAATTGATCATATTTATCATGTTACCATGAATAAAAAATTTAGGATGAACATCAATAGTAGTTTCTATCACATATTGACTCAAGAATTCTAACTTCCATCACTGTTTAACTTTGTCATCATTTTAGCTCATAAGTAACTCATGCATTCAGGTGAGGAAACACACACAAAACAGAAGTTTAACTATTTACAATTTATTTTTTTAAGATGTTACATAACAAGGATAGAGTTAAAGCTTTTGGACAACAGGCATATGGGGTGACACCTCCTTGATGACTCAATATCATTGAAAAAAATCTTCAATAATATAAATGTTACCCAATGCATTAACTGAACGATGAAGTAAATTTGTCACCATGAGATCATACACACAGAGTTGCTATCATTTATTGAGGAACTTTATGACTAAAATTACCAGATGGATATAACTTCTCTTATGTCTTCATTACACATGTCTTCAAGCAAAAAGTAGCAGTGGAATTAGAATGAACTTATTGTAAAAATAAAATATTTTATCTTTATTCAACACTTTAAAGAGTCACAGAGATAATTTGATTGGCCAAACGTAAAATAAAAAGTAGAAGCAATAGCAAAGAGATTAATATAAAACTTTAAAAAAAGAAATAATTAATATTACCCTAAAAAAGAAATGGACATCAGGATTCCAGAATTTTGTTAAATTTAAATATTGTTAAATCATAAGAGTCTGCATTTTCATCTCTTGTACTTAACTCATGAAAATTTGTTCCAAGATTTGAAAAACAAAAACAAACGAGAAAATTCAGGAAGTGAAAAATTTAACAACAATTTCAACAAATTATATTTCTAGTGGTAAGGAATTCTTTTAGTAAGATACAAGTAAAAATTATTGGTATGGCTTGATTCCATAGTGTCTACTAAAATCATTTTGAACATTATTTTTGTCAAAATGCATCATTGCATAGAGGCTATGGAATGATCCTATAATTATTTCTATGTAATTTGTTTTTACAAATTAGTTGGGATCTAAACATAAAATTAATTTAGCTGTTATCATAAAAATAACAAAAATGTACAATATTTTTTAATTGAACAATATGATTAAAGCAACAACAGCAAATTCCTGTATCAAAACATGGCTTTCAAATAATGTAAATGTAAGAAAATATGGCGCTAGGATGGGGTTAGCAGTTCTTATCCGTCCAAAAAAAATTAAGGAATGACAATAATTTTAACATAAATATATACAAGGAAATGATTTCTTTTTTCATTGTTACAATGAAATTTAAACTATCCTACTTTTGAAAACATTGGAAAAAGGAAATCAAGACAAGGGAGATAACTGTACCATAAGCGCACTTATAAAAGGAATTTTTGAAAAATTTACACTAAAAAATATATTTTTAGGCAGATTTATTATTTTGGCAGATAAAAAAGCATCTTCATCTATTTTGCTTTAACTTTAAGATCTTTTAATCAAATTGTTAATGTAATAAACATCAGTGTACAGGTCATTAAGCTAAAAATAATAATTTAATTATGTTTCTTGAACTAAATGTTAGCTGCAGAAGGGCCACGGCAGGGTCATCAATTAATTGAAGGAATATTCTCTCACCATCACATAATCATAGAGTGCACCAGGACCCAATAAGCATATTGTCATATATCATATATCAATCATATATATCAATCAATTAGGATATGTTCCTGTCAGGTCATTTTAAATTTTAGGTATTTGGCTAACAAGGCAACTTTTCATCACAAAATTTTTTAAAACTCTCCTTCTAACAGTTGCATTGATTTATTGTTTAGGCATAATCAGGCCTTTAATTTGGCACTGACATTACTTTGCATCCTTGTTTGTCCTTTCTTTATATTGATCATATGTATAAATATAACACAAAAATTATTTAAGTAAATATTTGCTTATTTTAAGTCAGACATCAGAGACTTGATCCAAAAGAATATATTTTTCTGCAACAAAGCGCAGCAGAAGTGCAAGCACCATTATGAAACAAAATTTTTTTCAGGACTGGCAAAAGGCTTGTATAATTGGCATTCTGAAGAGTGTTTAATTAGATCTGTAGACACATTGCCTCTGAAACACCTACACATTAACTCTTTGTTGTGGTTGAAAATGTGGAACTTATAATATTGATTAACTTTAAACAAATTATTATACAGTATTAAATGTACGTCCTTATAATTCTAAGATTACTACAAAACAATAAATAATAAACACATAATTTTCATTTGCTGAAATGTCCATGAAGAAAGGGAGAGAGAGAAAGAGAGTAAAGGACAAAAGGGAAACAATTACATTTATCAGCTTTACCAAAGGGACATGACAAGGAAAACTAGATTTGTTCAGTTTCATATTCCGAGGTCAAAATATTTCAACAAAACATTCTATTATTAATAATATTATAACAATTCTGTGACTTATTGTTCAGTCTATTCAATGTTTCACTCAAATGCTTGTAATAAAAGTAAACAAAATCTGTTAATTTTCAATCTCTAAAATTTCTCTATCAAAATAATGTATAAAATGCATATCAGAATATCGGTGTTAAATTTCTTAATTGACAACATCTGTTACAATACATTTTATAAAGTATTTGTGCTGCCTTCAAAATGAAATCAATTATCTGTTTGTGCTGCTTTCCATCTCAAGGCATATTTTGGCTATATTAATTTAAATATGTCCTCTTATGACAGCAATGATATTGTCCACGCCTAAAAGAAACGATTTCTTTTCAGTGATAATTCTTCACATTTACACAACAGCTAATTATTCTTATAGCACGAGGAATGTACAAATGGTCTGGGGGGTTTTGGGGGTCGCTTTTAACAACTAACAGTTAACATGGTTTACTAAAACAATATTAAACTACAATTAAATTAAAGCATTAGTAAGTTACATTACTTGTTAAAATGTGTCTTTCAAAAAAAAAAAATTGATAAATATTGTCTAAATGTTACTTCTTTTTCTTTTTCTTTCCTTTTCTTCCTCCCTTTTTTTTCTTTTTGGTTCCAGCACTTTGAGAAAATCCTCTTATGCCTAAGGCATCAGGAGCATCATGGGCAATAAAATACAGATTCTCCATTGCTGCTGGGCTCATCATGTCAGCTGGGGCAACCTTAGTGGACTTCCCAGATCCCAATGACCTTTTGCTTTTCCCAGATTTCTTGGACTTTTTTGAGCGTCCAGATTTCTTTCCAGACTTTTTGCTGGACTTCTTGCCAATTTTCTTTCCTGCCTGAAAATGATTAAGGTAGTTAATACAGTTAATTTCAAACATGGAAAAGCTGCTTAGATTCCATTTAGATTTTATTTTGAAAGAAAAAAGGAAACAATTATTGCATAAATATGGAACTTACATGATTTATTTTAGACCAAATTTATGGTGGAAAAAGTTTTAGGATATATAAACATCAATTAAAAAATGTTAGTTAAAAAATGTATCCCTTTCATTAATGAATAATTCTTTTAATAAACCTTTGATTTTATTGAGTTCTTAAAAGTATAATTAGAAAATATAAAAAAGTAAAAAGATGCAACACAAATAAATCCAAAAAGAAGATTAAAAAACAATTTCTTCTGGGGGTATACCTAAGTTAATTCCTTTCTTTCAAAATATTTTTGGAGGGAATGCCACACAATCCACTAAACAAAAAATTTAAAAAAATTAAATTTAAAAAAAAGCAACCAAAAAAAAACAACAAAGAAATCTATCAAAGTCAACTGTTATTCACTTTTTTAAAATTATCAAGTTCTAACTTCTTAAACACAATAATTTTCAAAACTAGAACCCAAAGTAATAATAATTGTGATCAAGGCTTTCTTTTCTTTACAGCATAAAAATTTATTATTATAGATGTAACAAAAATATCTCACTTTTTTATATTTTTATGCAATTTTTTTCCATTTATTCTGGAGCAGAAATCATCCATTAGTATATAAATGCAGATAACCTCAGAAACATTTCTTAATTAAGACATTCTTTAAAGTGAATTCAGAAAATCCCTTAGATCTAGATCAGAGCTTGCCAATGTCATCTAAACAACCTCCTGCCGTTGGCATGGTCACTAAGGCGTCTATGGGAATTAAAGGGTTTTTTATGGGGTTGCTGAGATATAAATTATTTTAACACTTCCATAGAAATTTTAATTACAAATAATAATTATCTGGGTATTTAAAGCTGTGTTCAATATTTCCCCAAATATAAATTCCCAGAAATCAGCACTAATTTGGATTCTTATATGTGTTATTTCAATGTATTTTTTGTCAAGTAATTTTAGCAGATGGGAAGTTCGCTGGTTTATTTCTAATATACAATTTTAAAAAAAAAGAATAGACCAGAAGCCAAAATTTGCAAACAAAACAATTTTTAATTAACTGAGATGACAGTGGTAAGTCACATTAACTTGTATGTAGAAAATAAATAGAGCCTTAGACTTAGACGAAAATTTTGGGACCAAGAAAATTCTATTGCCTATAGGCAGTAAAATATCCCTGGTGCAATATTATATTATAAAAAAATTGTTCAACAAACTTTCACAACAACAATTTTTTAAAGAAGAAACAAAGCAACTTCATATAATTTAAGATCTTTAATGGATTAACAAAAAGATGCTAAATGATACTTTTATTGTGATTCTGTTTGTCAAACCTTTTTTAATTCTGATGAAAACAATAGCATAGGAGGTATGACATTTGTTAGGTCTTCATGTCAAAAATGATTATCAATAAGGAACCGAGAAACTGGTGGAGAAGGCTTGGTCATATTTGTGAAAAAGCATTAAGCTATTTCCCAATTATAAAAAGTGTTGTTCGTGTCTTATTAATATAAGCTATTTCCCAGCACAGCTAAGGGAAAAAAACAAACTCAGAAGACCTAACAAAACTTAGTCTATAACATAAAAGAAAGATCTGCGGACTAGAAGGCTCACACAAAAACAGATGATAGCAGTGGTTTTTCTTGGTCATTACCAGAAGCACCTGTGAATGCATGCTAATGAAATGAACACTACGATATTATTTCATACAATGCTAAGAATCTTTTTTATTGTGCTTAAAAGAGTTGTAATTCAACATCCAAGAAATCAATATTATTATATCAGATTTTCTCACAAGATGGGCATGGAAATAAGGCAATAATAAATAAGATGAGAAAAATAGCTTCAACGTTTGTATAAAGTAAATTGAGGCCCTTTGGTTTAAATATAAAAAGATGACTAATTTGAAAGATGAATAGTCTACATTATAAGTAAATTAATGAGCTGTTGAATATTTGAGCAAATGTGTAAATTAAGAAATGCACAACACATTGCCTTATCAATCCAAAAAATATATAACAGATGTACTCTGGATGAGTAGACTAATGTAAAAGATTTTTCTATATAAAATACATTTAGATGTGTAAACAGTTTTTAATCATAATTAGCTGTTGATACCATATGGCATGATAAAGAACTAGTTGAAAGGGTAAGATGTGGCCAAATCATTTCTTTTTCCCTTTCTTTCCTTTTCCCTTTTTCTTTTTGGTGCCATCATTCCAGCTGAAACCACGCAAGGCTAGAGCATGAGGAGCATCATGAGCAATGTAATAGAGGTTTTTAAAAGCAGCATCACTCATCATAATTTGAGACTCTGTGGGATTAACACCTAACGCGGCTGCTGCAACGCCCGTTTTCTTTCCTTTCCCCTTCATATCTTCCTTTCCTTTTTTCCCCTTCTTACCTTTCCCACTTTTCTTTCCCTTCTTACCTTTACCACCTTTTTTTTTCCCTTTCTTCCCTCCCTTACCTCCTTTCTTTCCCTTACCCCCTTTCTTCCCTCCCTCACCTCTCTTCTCTCCTTCCTTCACTCCCTTACCACCTTTCTTCACTCCCTTACTAGCTTTCTTCACTCCCTTACCAGCTTTCTTCACTCCCTTACCTCCTTTCTTAACTCCCTTAACCCCTTTCTTCACTCCCTTACCCCCTTTTTCCCCTCCCTTTTTAACTTTTTTTTCTGTGCCACTTTTTTTGCCTTTATCACCTTTTTTTCCTTCACCAGTCTTTCCTTTCCTGACTTCACCCTTGTGGTCTGTTACTTGTTCACTTGTTTCATCATTTTCTTCTTGGTTGCCTTCCACCCCACTTTCTCCTCCTTTAACCACACTGCTTTTTTCTTTATCACCTTTCTCTTTCCCACCTCTCTTTTTCCTCCCTTTCTCTTTCCCACCTTGTGAGTCCCCCTCTTCCTCTTCTTCTTCTACTTCTTCTTCTACATCAGCTGATTCCCCCTTTCTTTTAACCCCCTTCTTCTGTTTATCCTTTCCCTTTTTTTTCCACGAGGACTTAAACTCAGTAGCAATAGAAGACGGTGTCGTAGGCCTATTTTCTGAAGGTTCTAAAACAAAGTTGACAGCATTTTTACGATATTCATCCTCAACTCCCCCATTAGGTGATTCTTGGTCCTCCACAAATTTGGGCAGGTCCTCCACTGACTTCTTTACACCTTTTCTAGCATCTGTCTTTCATTATGTGTGAAAAGATTAAAAAGATGGTAGAATTTATTTTTTTAAAAGTAATTTTAACAACAAAATAAATAGTTCAAGTCTGATGCTTCAAAAAATAACTCAAGTCATCTTAATACTCAAAGACAATGTTTACCAGAGGCAGCCTATGCATGTTGCCTCATGCAGCTTTGGTGTGAGGCATGCCACAGGCGTATGCCTAACAGATAGCACTCATCATTTTCTCTTGGAATTGTTGCTTGAATGGTCTCTTGACAAGAAACCAAAATTAAATTAATTTGAACTTCTTGAGGGGTTGGTTTTGTTAATTTATGACAATAAAATTCCTAGACTTACTGAACAGAAAACCCTCAAAGAGGGAGTGTAGCTTATTCTCCATTTATTTTGAAAGCAACAAAGTGCACATGCTTGATACCTTTGCAACATGAATCTATTGACCTAGGGCAGCGGTCCTCAACCTGTGGGTCATGACCCCTTTTGGAGGTCAAACAACCCTTACACAGGGGTCGCCTAAGACCATAGGAAAACACATACTTATGACTTATGACGTAGCAATGATAATAATTTTATAGGTGCAGGGTCACCACAACAGGAGAAACTGTATTAAAGGGTCGCTGCTTTAGGATGGTTGACCTAGAGGTAGCCGGTTTTCATATTCATCCAAAATATGGGTAAATAGCTGGCTGGCATGGACTTAACAATGGACAGCAACTATTCTCAGGGAGGAGATCAAAACCCAGCCACCAAAGTTGGTTAAATAGCACCGCCTTGGTGAGGGTATAAAATAAGTTGGGTATAAAATAAGCTGTCTACACAAAAAATAGCTGCGGTTCTTTGAATCATGTTTTATTTGCCATAATCAATCTGAAATGTGAAATAACAGACATTTTCTCAATGTACCCATGAGCTTATTCTTACTTAGTATATAATACTGAAGTCATCCTCCCTATGTGTGTAATAATGAAATAATCAAGATGATTTAACAATGAAGTCAGTCTCATTATGTATGTAATGAAGGATTTTATCTTACAAAGTGTGTAGCAATTAGCAAAGTTTTCAAGCAGTAATGTTTTGAATCCATTTAACTCTCTCTGCTTTATCACTGATAAATTACATAAAACCATAGGTAATTGCCCTTTGACAAAGTTTTAGTGAATTAGTGGACATAGTTGCTTTCCGAAAATAATTTATGAGCTAAATTGCAAGGCGTGTTCAACAATTTATAATATTATACGGGATAATTAATTGGATCCGAAATATGAGAATAGCCTGCAAGTCGGGTCCAGTTAATGTTGTCTATAATCTTCTGGTTTTCTCAAAGTGCTGACTGTTGGGTTGTCCAGGGAAGGGGCACTGGAAGACTTGGTGAATTTTAGGGGTGCTGGGACCATCAAAGGGTGCAGAGGACATTATATTGGCAGAGAGTTTGTTAATTAAAATTAAATATTTCAAATAAATTTTAGAAACATTTTATGGTTCTGATCAGGAAGACTTGATGAAAGATATCTATTTTTAAAACAGATGCACCAAAGTCTTTTAACAGTACATTTAAATTTAGGTAAGAACAGTAATGTGAAAACACAAAGACTTATAGTTTTAAATGGACTTAACAAATGAGCCACATACTAACAAGCATAATTTATGACACAAGTTATACTAATTTACTAGCCCATTAGCAATTCGAGAATTTTCTATAGATGGAAGTCAAAGATTTGTTTAAAAACCTATTTTTATGATTATGGCAGTTGTTGTAGTAGGGCTTATTCAGCAAAAATTGTGTTCAACCAAAGTTTAAATATTGGTACCAAAGGTTTTGCTTTCAGTTAGATATTTATTATCATATTATTGACGGTGGAATGCACTTTGTTGCATCTCATCATTGTATTTGGTGGATGTTGATTTTAGTGGTATTTACATGCATTGTATCAGAACTCTTGCTACATAATTATTTTACAAAGGAACCACATGATTAAATTATTCACACTAATAAATGAATAAATAAAATAACAAAGATTCTTCTTCTTCTTTTTCTTCTATATCTTAAGGGGCATTTGAATCTAGGTTAATTGTGCTAACATATATGAAAATTTTATATGGCATTGTGTAATCATCTTCTAAAGAGGGTCTAGAAAAACGTATTCTTAAAATGCTTATAATTGGGCTCGACATGGAGCCCTGAGGTCAAGTTTATGACTCCGATGGGAAGTGCCTGATAAAGTTTGAGAACCACTGATCTAAATTATAGGATAATATATTTATGGGAATCAAATGATTATTTTTTTTAAATTAAAATAGAAAATTTGTAGCTGGGACAATGCTAAAGGAATGGTGAAAACAATCTTTTGGAAATGTTGGTATTGACTTATTATTGTCTTGTTATATTCAATGGTAATATAATTTAAGAAAAACTTATAGGCTAAAATAAGGCTCACCATTTACTTATATGCCTTTATGGGATATTTCTTGTAAGTAGACCTTTTTGATAGACATGATGGATTCTTTGAAAATGCACAAATATAGCAACTCTTTACTGAAAAGAAAAATCCAGATGATAATTAAAATATATTTCTTATAAATTATAACATTTTTTATTTGATTGTTTAAAGAAATATTCTCAAGACATAGTTATGTACCTGAAATGGGCAGAAATTTTTTATGCTTGAAATTATAAAATGTTTATCATTTTCTTGCAGCATGATCTATTAATCATGCCCTTCATATTCAACCAGGTACCTTGCTTCATTGAGACGCTCATCTGCACTTTTGATGGGCTTTTTCCCTGGCTTTGACAGGGTGGGCAATAGGGGAATGTGTGTTCAGTGTTCTGGGCTTTAGAAACTATTCTTCCTTCATCTTTTCTGTCTAATTTCTGACTTCTCTTTGCAGGAACAGAAGTAGTATTATCTGAATCCTCAGTGTCACAACTATTACTATCACCTTCTCTCTTTCCATTTACCAACCCATCAGAAACCTGAAAATCATCATTTGAATCTGATTCAAATGATTCATGGTTATTGTCTGATGTTTCAGCATCAATATTTTGCAGGAAAGCTCTTGTGTTTGCAAACTTTACTGCATACATGGTCTAAAAACACTCAACAGCTGATGTGCTTGGAGTAGGCATGGCCATTTCTTTGTTTATAACAGTTTCAACATAAATCACACAAAAAGAGTCATAATTATTGGAAAAACAAATGTAAAAAAACCCTACTTCAACCAGAAGGAAGTAGGACAAGTTATCATTCATTTGAGAACATAAAATTTAGGATTGGTCATTTAGTTAATGAAATAAACTACAGAAATTAAATCAGTGATATATGATCGACTGGCACAAATGCATCGATAGGCTTGGAAATAGTTAATCTATTAATAAGTTGGCACTCCTCAGAACAGCAGTCCAAAATGTTAAATAAAATACTTTTCGTTACAAAGTGCATGGCTACCAGTCTAATAGCTACCGATAATTGGTGTTGTAGTTGTTTACGTCAAGTGGCCTATTTAAATTAATGCATTTAATTTTATTGAAGCGAGCGATCTTCATTTGCTTCTTCTTCATAATCATTATAATCTCCTAAAAAAAAAAAGAAGAAGAAATTCATGAGAAAAACAAAAGTTATCTCTGTTCAATTGATGTTTTGTATTAAACGGTGTTGTGCAAGGCACACTAACCAAAGTCAAAGAATCCTACTAAACAGTGATAAAGTGCATGCTATCATTAACTCTTTACATTCCTTGAATTTTTGCATGTTTTTCTTGAGATTTCTAGTGACCTCTCAAAAGTGTCAATAACTTTTAGAATCCATGTCTAAAATTCATGATATTACATATATATATATATATATAACAGTGGGGAAATGCATGAGGTTTCTAAAAATGTTGGTTTTCAAACATATAGTGTCAACACTTAGAAGTTGTGAAAAAATAATGATTGATTTTTTTTTTATGAATATGTGTAAAAAAAATTTGGTGATCAGATGCAAAGAAGGAAAAAAACAAACCACCTGAAATAATTTAATAAAATTTGTTTATTTAGAAAGAAAATTCATTTTTGTATGTTATAGTTATGATTTAGAACATTTCATAAGCATTTGACCAACATGTAAATTATTTTGTAAAATGTGTCTAAAAGGGGAAATAATTAAAAATATAAAAAATTAACTGCACCTTCAAAACGAATTTTTTTTAAAATTACAGGTTATTAGTATTTATCTATTAAAATTATTTACTGGTACACATTTCTCAACATAATAGAGATTTTTAACTTCTTAGTACCACTACTCAGAAAGTTTCTTGTTTTTTAAAACAAAGATAAGTTTACCATGCGCAAATTTTGATTCAGGATTTTATTTTCTTAGCAAACTGTAGAATGCCTTTCAAAAATCTATGCATTCAGGAATTATTGTATTTTGTGTTATTTACATTACGGCACTTGGAACATAAACACATTTAGTAAATCATCTAAAGCTAAAATAAATTCCTCAGTGAAGTCAATTGAGAGTTAAATGTAAGGTAGCTTCAGTTCATCCATATCATAGGTTTCTTTTGAAAAATCTTGAAGAGATTATGGCTGGCAATATTAACAAAATGGAAAAAGGGGTTTGTGGAGTGCTGTTCTCTTACCTAGGGTGAAATATCCATTTATTAACAGATCAACAACACACATGAATGAATTGTATGATTTCAAAATCTGATTTGACAATATTTGGTCTCCTCACCAATAATAATTGCCTAGAAATTAACCATCAGTTTTGGTTCTCTTCACATAAGAAAATATATTTGCTGTCATATATTTGAAATAAGTGGGCTTTTTCATTTCCTCTCCACTGAACATCATGTAAATTATATTATCTCTTATCCACAACATCATATCACATTCTTTGGTTTTTATCTTTATTTTCTTCTGATAAAATCAGACAAGTTCACTTTGCACAAACTTGGAAGAATGTCTAATTTGAATAAATCTGTTTTTGGGAATAAGGCATGAGCCAAAAATTCATGGTAGTAATGAAAGATTGTTGAAGTTGATAAGTATTTTTGTACACTGAGGACTTGTACAGTTGCCATGCATATAAGTGGTCCTAGAAATTTGCAAAATTGTTATATTGTTGAAATATTAATAAACCACAGTTGATAGAAGGTTTAGAAGGTCCCATGGTAGTTGAAAAGATGTATTTAAATGTTTAAACCAAATCCAGTGTGAAATATATCTTGCAAATCCTTAGGCTTTTGGATGAAGATATGCTGGCTCATTGTGTCCATGTTATGTTGACATTTCTTTCCCAAATGTCAGCCTGGCTATCTGGCAGGGGGGAAATTAGGAGTGAGAACTGGTGGGTCATCATCTCGAAAATCATACAACTAATGTAGCCTGTGAATGTAAAAGAACAACTTATGTTATAGACCTATATGTAACTTTTAGGGATGAAATTAATATAAAATATATACTTGACTCAAATTTCCAGTTTTTAATACTTCCAATACTGTCTAAAAACCATTATGATAAAAAAATTTAGTGTCAGATAATTACATTTTTACAAAGCACATAGATGTCAAATTTCATTTAGGATAAAATATATCATAATAATCAGTGCTGACTGCATTGTTTACATTCCATATCAACAGTTTCTATGAATAAGCTTCTAAAATGATTTTTATAACATATTCACAAAATATACAATGATTTTATTTACGTAGATTCATTTAAAAATGGGTAGTAAATATTTCCATTATGATTAAAAACACAATTTAAACCGATAAAATAAAATTTAAAAATCTAAAAAAAATATAGAATGACGAAACACCTGTTTACTAACCTTCTAGTTTTAGTGACAAAAATGGGCTATAAAGGAAGATTCTCATCAAAATCTGAATCAGAACCACTAGATTCAGGTTCCCAACTATCTTCCCCTCAAGATTCAGATAAAATGTGATCAATATTATCGTAAGTGGGGTAAATTTAAAGGAGAGATGCCATGTTTTTTTTTCCAATGGCCGCCATCTTGGTTGACAAGACCAGTTAATTCTGTCACTAAATCTAAGTAAATGTATCCTTAAACCTAACCTGAACCCTTAATGTATCCCAAAACCTAACCTGAACCCTAATTCATGGCAAATTTAATAAACACGCAAAAGACGCAGTGGCATTCGTTCTTAATTTTAGCCGTAAGTAGTATTTATAATTATAATTTATTATTTAAGATTTTGGGCTGCCGAGTCGACTAGCATCTTGCGCGAATTTTTCTAAAATGGCGACTAATGCTTTGGTTTGTCACGTAAACCTCGAACTCGCAAAAAAAATCATTTGTTTTTTTAAATCTTTCAATTTTATTTTTTTATATATTTCTCTTCCAAATGTACGATAAAATAGATACAGAACACTTACAAAATAAAAAAGACAACATTTTATGAGCGAAAATAACTGACATATATATTTATAGGCTCTCTATGGTGGAGGAATGAAAAGATTTAAGTATTTCAGTGCCTTTGGTGTTGTTTCATATTTTGCAGAATGTTTCCTGAAATTAGAATGGCCTTGGTCTTGTTTATTTTTATTATTACTATTACAGGGAAAAATTCATCAGCAAACAGAATTAGACGTTAACAGTTATGTCACCATTTATTGGCGGCTATTAGGCTGGTAACCGGTACACTATCTAATATTAAGTATTCTATTTGACATTTGGGACTACCGTTCTAAGGAGTGCCAATTAGTCTATTATCTAATCTGCATGGTCTTTATACTTTATTATTATTAAGATATACAGGCCCCATGGTTAGGGTTAGGGTTTGGGTTTTTGTTAATCTCTTACTTTACATATATTACGCTTGTGGTGTGATTGCTTCCATTTCCAGATAGCACGCAAAATATAATTCTGATACCTACTTTAGATGTTGTTGTTTTTTTAAATAACGACAATAACGCAACTGCGTTTGGTGGATATTTTCTTTTCAAGAATTAAAATTATCTCCATTTTAATATGGTGTAATCTGTAATGAATGTTTCGGTTTTAAGTAGTTTGGACATCAGAATATTAATATAGTTAATGGGCGTGAAGTAAAAGTGTGCAGTGACTTGGGGGGGGGGGGGGCGTAGCTAAAATTGGGAATCTTATAACTTATGACTTATGTGAGTTACTTGAGTTCATGTTTGTCAAGTAACATTAGAAGATGGAAAGTTCATGCATTGCTTGCTGTTGCCAATGTCTGGTGAGCTAAAACTAGTTTTGAAGATTGATACTAGTCTAATAATTTAATAATACTAATAATAATAATACTTATTTAGACTTAGGTCTTATTTTTTACTTAGACTTAGACTAGACCTAGGCATCTAAACTATTACTATTAGTCTATTTCCTTAGACTTATTTAAGTTAAATTACTGGGCCTATATTGATCTAGGTCTATAGGCTATAATTAATACAATTAGGCCTAACTATGACTTGCTAGCATTCTTTGTACTTAGACTTGACTAGATTAGACTTAAGACTTAAGTCATCATACGTCGGCTTGAACTTGAATTTGAAGTTTTTTTTTAAATTTAAATTATAAATTATGTAGTAATAATAATGATCAAATAATAAAATAATACTACCCTAGATTATAAATACAATTAAATTTCATTTGATATCAGCATTGAAAAATTTAGCGAATTTACGAGGGTAAAAATATGCATATCCGAATTAAATGGTCTTACCATCTTCCCTGTAAATGTAAACAGGAATTTTTTTTAATTTACACAGCGGCCATGGCGTTGGTTGTAACTATAGTGATAAAAAGATGGTCTGGATTCAAACTATTAAATAGTTAATTATATTAAAAACATTTTACTTTCTCTACATTTTTCAATATTTTGAATAATGCTTATAAAATGTTAATTTAGTTATTTTTTTATTAATATTTTTGAATTCAAATAAATTGGTGTTTAATGCTACTGCCAAACTCTGTCCACTTTTTTTTACGATACAATGTCAGGGCTACCACACCTTGGGACATTTCCCAAGATCTTGGGAATTCACTACCCCCATTCAGGGCACGACCTACGAGACCTCTAGAGCAGCGGTTCTCACCTTGTGGGTCGCGACACCATTGGAAAACACACATTTCCGATTCCGATAGTCTTAGAAACCGATTGATTTGGTCCGGCTAAAAAACCAGACATGTCACTAATTTTCATTATGATTCGAGACGAATTTGTTACGAAAACGAGTGCACTTTCCTTATCTAACGACACAGAATAATAGATGACATGTCTGTTGATATTCATGATCAGGTAATCCGGGAAATTAAATCTGCTCCACTTCCAATATTTAGTATCCAGCTTGATCAATCTACAGACGATTCAAACTGTCCACAGTTACTAGCTTACGTGAGGTATATTAATGATGGCAACTTCAAGGTGGGTTTCTTTTTCCAAACCTTTTGAAACAACTACTGCGTTTATTTCTGAAAGATTATAATATCTCTTGGAAAAGGTTTGTGTTGTTTGCAAAGATGGTGCTCTAGATATGCGAGGATGTCTATCGTAAAATCTATTGGGAAAGGTTTGCACAGATGGTGCTCCAGCTAAGCTAGGATGTCGATATGGATTTCAACTTTTGTTACTGAATGAGTCACAAAAAGTCATCGGAACTTACTGATTGATTAATCGGCAAATATTAGCAATGAAGACGCTGTCACAAGTGTTAAAAGAAGTATTGAAAAGCATCATAAGTTCTGTAAATTTTGTAAGAGCGAGCACTTTAAACAGTCGACTGTGCAACAAGTTGATGCGCCAAACAATTTTCTGCTATTTCACACCGAAATGTGATGGTTGTCGAAAGGAAAAGTTTTAAGACATGTTTTTGAGCTTCGTGATGAAATCACAACTTTTTTTAAAATCACAAAGCAAGACCGCAGTTCAAAGATATTTTTAGTTATAAAAGTGGACTGCAGAAAGTAGCTTACTTGATTGACATGTTTGTCATCTTAAATGAGTTAAATTTATCACTGCAAGGACCAAATGCAACATACCTCAATTTGCCTAAAAAGATGCGATTATTTATATTTTAATTTCAGCTTTGGCCAACAAAAATATGATTTCATTACATTGAACCAGACAAAGGGATAATGATGATACAGTCTGTTAAGGAACACTTGCACGCATGCTTACAGACGAAATTTCATCGTACTTTCCAAATCTACCTCACACCCCATTTGCACTTGCCAGAAGTCCATTCACAGTCAAAGTTGAAGATGTTTCTGAGTCAACACAAGAGGAGTTTATTGAACTTATTAACGGCGATGCAGCGAGAACTGATTTCTATACAATGCAAGTTACAAAATTCTGGATCAAGTGTTTGCAGTCATACCCTTTTCTGTCTGAGACTGTGTTGCGCTTTCCTCTTCTTTTCCAACAACATAACTTTGTGAAACAGGGTTTTCCAGCTTGTTGGTAATCAAGTCTAAAGATAGAAGTAAACTTGTTGTAGAAGATCATCTTCGTTGTGCTCTTGCAAAGACTGCCCCGGGCATTTCTAATACGGTAAGAAACAATCTAAACCTTCACACTGACGTTGGCTCTTTACGCATACTATCGCAAAATTTAGCAAAGTAGTTTACTGTTGTTATAAAAAGACTGTTACCCATGCTACACGATGCTTCAAGAATTTTTTTTATTTATTTGTAATCAGAAATTAATTAATATTTCACAACATATTGTTTTTTGTGATTAATCACTATGCTTTAATTAAGTTCAATTTGTAACAATGAAAATAAATCCTGCATATCAAATATTTAAATTACGATTCATAACAAAAGTAAAGTTACATCTATGAAGTAGAATCGAAAATAATTTTATTGTTGGGGGTCGCCACAATATTTATTTATTTATTTATTTAGGCATTTTTATATAGCGCTTATCTTAAAGCTCTAAGCGCTTTACAATTATTAAAAACATGTAAACTAACTAAAATAAAAATGAGACATTCGGATTGTAACTACTATCCTATAGAAACAATTAAAATGGCTATAAAACGATGACACTTTAGCACGTTTTGGCCTATACTACAGGATCAACCCGAGACTTCGCACGGCTAATTGCAGGTTGACATGAGTGTTATAGTATAACTGACTCACGAGCATGGGCGCCCGCAGGTAGGGGCAAGGGGGGCACCTGCCCCCCCTGGATTGATTGGATAAAAAAAAAATAGACAAAAATAGACAAAAAATGTTATTAAAGTAAAGAGAAAATAAAGAGAAAGTAACTAAGCTGATGTCCTGTCCGTTCGTTCACCATACAAATACGCTACAGTAAATTAAAACTATATTAAAACATTACTAAAAAAAAATTTTGCCCCCCCCCCCTGGAAAGTTAAATTCACCATACAAATCCGCTACAGTAAATTAAAACTTTATTAAAACATTACTAAAAAAAAATTTTGCCCCCCCCCCCTGGAAAGTTAATCGATTTTTTAGCGCCCCCCCCCCCCCCCGAAAGTTTTCTGCGGGCGCCCATCCTGCCACGTGTCATATACACTGTCAGTCTCAGAAATATGCAACCGGCAACCAGTGAAACATCCTCTTCAACACCAGGCACTTTAACATTGCAAATCCCATCTACATGCATAGGGGCAAGAGTGATCAATAACTTGATCGTGGGCCCTTAACATATAGAACAAGCAGATGCGAGAGTTCTAAATTTTAAATAAAACTTGCATAACCAACACGAGGTACGTGTTTTAACAAGCGGTACGTTTTGTTAAGCGTGTTACCGTTCCTTGTGGCGACACAAATACAGGAGAGGCGAGGGCGCTTTGATCAATATGTCCTTCGGTAGTTCTCCGGAACTACTTTCTCCCCCCCCCCCCAGGCCCCGGTTTGACCGCTTAAAAATTTTCGTAAGCCTTTGTATTATATATCTTTTTACAATTGTACTTTAACATTGTCACATTTCTCTAACTTCTCCTAAAATTTATAATTGAACTTTCGCAATTTTGTTGAGCTTCCTCAAATAAAGCAAAAGAACTGGAATGCAATATGCCTATGCCTGGACACCGTGGAAAGCGAATTATGTTAAAAATCCATAGCATCATTTTCTCCCTTACATGCACATTTCAATTTAAAACACATATTTTAACTACTCCCTCTATTCGTTCACCACATTTTCTCTCTCGCTATCTCCCCATATTCCTCTGACTTCTTCCCCTTCTCTTTTATTTTTATTCATATCGCTTGTTAAATTGGCTTTATTAATTGTGGCTATCATTCTTTCAGTGTGATCT